CGTGGCCACTACCAGTCCTGTGAAACCTGACCTGACCTGACCTGACCTGACCTGACCTGACCTGAATGTTTCTCCCTCAGTTACCTGAATCCCCATTGAATCCCCTTCACTAGTGGGCCGTGCTCTCAAATTCTCGTCAGCGGGCATTACCCATCAATCTAAAACCAAGATCCCGGACTATTGGGCTTAGCCTTGAACCCGTGAAATACTTGAAGACTTCTAGACCTAAACACCTGACCTGGAAAATGTATCGTCAAGGTCGCGGTGCGGTACGCTTAGTCTCACGTGTTTTTTGGGTTGGTTTGTCACCCAGCTTGGGGTGCTGTTACAAAATGGGCGAGGTTGCTTCCAATTCACTTCCGTGCAACACAGCTCGTGAAGGCAAAGCGAATGTTTTGCTTCCCGTTGGAGTTTTCTACAATCGCGTCCAACAATTCAATAGGGATATTACAGTTGCTGTTATCAAGCATTTCCAATTGCTGCATCAGTATGAATGGGTTCAACGGGTAAAGAAGAAAATTGGAGGTATAAATATTCATTCTAATGAACAAACCTAGATGGTAAATCTGAGGTATCTCCGGTATATCAAGGACTGCATATTCTTGAAGCTCTTTCGGCTTCGGGTATTAGGTCGGTTCGCTTTGCTCTTGAAGTGCCCAGGGTGAAGAAAATTATTGCGAACGACCTGGATCAAAAAGCCGCACAGCTCATTGCGGAGAACCTAACAAGGAACGAAGTTGAAGGACACGCAGATGTGACGTGTGAAGATGCCATTGACTTGATGCACAAACATAAAGTCTACGAGAAACGGTAACTTGCTATTTTACCTTCTCGTTTTAAACAAGTACACATCTTTGTATATGCACATATGCTATGTATTGCCATTCCCATGTACCCCATGGGGCAAAATTGACCCATTCTATTCCTTTTCAAGTTCCATCCGAAATCGGTTTCACGCAAAAGAGCTAGAAATGTGACTCTAGGTAGATAGAAGCTTACATTTATCATTCACAGCGCAGGTCCACGTCGAAAAATTCTCAATCAGTGGTAGCTATTAGACCCACTTCATCCGTTTAACTGCGGACGTAATCCCCGTAAGACGTTTACACAGCGCGGTTTTTCGTCGGAATATCGCTCTCGCGTTTTCCCACAATGGTAAATTAAAATCCCTCACCCGACCAGCAATAACGCCAGAATAACGCACTATGCAACGTGTGCTTTTGGGGCGAAATTTCGCGCAAATAACGTCTGGTTGCAACAGGCCTTTGCGCGTTATTCTACGAAACTCAAGAAACGGCCCTTGTTATTTCTACTTAGAATTACTAATCTAATGACCAATTCATGCTCTAGGTACACCTATAACCTGTAATAATCAACTCCATTCATACCAAAAATGAACGCATTCGAATTTCTACCCCTCTGACTGTATAGCCACGGAGTACGTCTTAGTTGTAGAGATCCTTTTCCCGTAGTAACCGCAAATAAAATAGCCATGGTGGTTATTGCAAAAACTACATTTAGAAAATACGCGGGATAATTATTGCACATTTCGACATCATCGGTGCTTGTGAATGACTTTCTTCAGCATCCGAGTACCTTCCTGATGGTTGTATTCCAAGGATTGATGTTTGTAGACAACATCTGCAAAATAAGAACAGAATGATGGTAAGTAATTAACGAATATCGTGGGTTACACGGATAAGTTTATACGGATTATAAATCAAAATAAATTAATGAACTCGCCAGAAAAAGGAGAAATGTTTGCGCTCACCCATCATTGCGTCCTGGATCTTGGCTGCTAGAGAACACTTGCCACGAATGCCGTTCCACTTTAGGCTCTTGCTCACTTTGGGGCTGAACACCCGGCGAATTCACGCATGACAGTTCCCCCACTGGCAACTAGATATTCCACCTAGACGAAGATAATTTCGGTTAATAGTTGTTTTATAAGCACAACCACTAAATTGAAACTGAACATTGCTTATGAATGCATCGTAGTTTGCGGTGACTTTCTGTTCCTTAGATAATTGTTGGAAGTCGTCCATAGTTGCAATAGACAGCCAGACGCCCACCGATGAATCCTTGAAATAGACCAAACCGTTGATCTTGGCATTATTTCGTTCACAATCCGTGAGCCTACCCAAGGGTAGCTGCATCGCACGAATGCTTTCACCTATTGGTGGCGAGAATTACCTAAATGTGATCGTCTTCAGCGGTCAACGGCTCAATCTGTTGATGTTGGTTATATAGGATTAATAATGTCTCACTTTGGATTGTTGCAGACCAGGCATCCGTTTGGGGATGGTGATGCAATCATTTTTATCCCGTCTGCAGCATCCATGAATGAGCGTACCTGGATGCCGTCGGTATGAGGTGTGAACTGAATTGAAGACAAAAATAGTGAACCTGATTGAACTCACAGATGGGAATGGAGCACATTTTCTGTCGCCGTAGTCACCACCACACTGTGGCTGGTACCTGGTTGTCTTCAAACAATTATAGCGATATGAATTTAAACTTACTGCACAAAGGTCCTAGTGTTGCTCACATTCGCCATAGATGGTCTTGGCTTCGGTAGCAAAATTGTTTGTGAGTACGCTCGTTGTGCTGGCTTTGTCACTGGCCAGTCTACTTCAAAGTCAGATAGAACAACTGGTGCTCTGTACAAAAGAAATGGTGAGAATTATGTTTTCTTACAGTTTACGTTTGGCCTGTGATGATAGGAGCGGTTGTGTCTGATGAAGGCACTTCTGTCTCATCTTGATAACGTTCTTCATACATCAACGCTTTGAAGTAGTTGTCTACGTGAAGAACGATTCATTTATTCTAGGGCAGCTTACCTATAGTTCGAATGTTAACTTTGTGAATGGTCGCTCCCGGTGGGGGATCCATTCCCTCTTTCAGCAATTTGTGCAATACTTGGATAGTCAATGAACTAGATTTCNGGTCTCCCAAGCAGTGAAACCCACAACGAAGATCATTAACAGTGCTTGTGACAAACCGAATGGGCTAATCCAAACATTCGCCATCTAAAAAGAATCCACTCACGTTGCCAAAGTGTTTGTCGGTACATGAATTATTCTACAATGACTATTTACGCATAAACAAACCATTACCAAAGTAAAGCAGGTAAAAAGCGTGAAAAAAATAAAAAGTTGGAAACGGAAGAGCCAGAAGGTTTAAACGACGGTATCAAAAAAAAAGAGAACTCCGAAGGGGATTTATATGTTTATTAATATTAACACGATGGACGAATTTCGTAAGTCTAAACGTGTATTTCGCATGGCCTTCGTTTTTATTCGGGTGCGAGTTTAGGTATCCGTTGACCTGCAAGTTGTTTTACCAATTTCGATACAACACGCAACTTCTCAAGTCCACGCCAGCATTAACACCGATATAACGCGCTATGCAACGCGTACTTTTCGGGCGAAACTTCCGGCAACAAACGTCAGGTTGCAACAGACCTTTGCGCATTATTCTACGAAACCCAAGAAACGACTCGTTATTTCCCCGTAGAATAAATAATTCAATGATCAATTCTTGCCCTAGGTACGCCTATAACCTGCAATCAAGAACTCCATTTATACCACTTTCATGAACAATAGCAACCTAATCTCCCGAAAATTCCACCACAGAATACAACTAAAAGAATGCATGTTATTGTTACTTATTGGAAAAAAACATGTCATGCTCGATACGGGTTGTAAAGCATAAAAAAGTCTACGTGAAGATGTATCAATTTTCAAAGGTTGTCATCCATTTGGCATGGATTCCAAGTGCATTCCCTATAAAAAAGTAAACTATGGTCCTGGTATACCAATCACTGATCTTTATTTTTTCCAAGTATGCAGGAGTGGATAAAACACAAATCCTGTTTTGTACGTCATGGTCATGCATTTGCAAGTAACTTCTTGCTTTGAGATGGTTTTCTCCATCGTTAACCGTTCATATCGAAAGATGCAAAGATCTGTTGATACGACATAACTTTCATGGAACGACTGCACTGTGTGAAATCGTTGAATCCGTAAGTGCTGATGTCCAGATCCAATGGCCGTTGCAGGTCTCGCATCATCCTGCACTGCATTTTCAGGAAACAGTGCTTAACTCGAATGATAAATCTGTAGTATACTAACGAAAGGTACAAAATTGGCAATTACATGTAATTCTTTTCCTTGCGGAAATTCTTCGTGTCATTGGGCATTGGGTGTCATCCAAAGCACTGTTTACTAATGTAGTCGATTCAGTTGCCCGTTCGCGTACACTTCGAAGTACCTGTACGTGTTCCGCGATAAAACCGTTCTCCTCAACTGACCCATATATGATTCAAATGGGAATGCGGAGTATTTGTCTAGTGGCCCACGTAAGCGTACGTCGTCAGCGAGATGAGACTAGCAATGCATGTTGTATACTAACTCGCATTCTCCGTACAGCGCAGCGAACTGATTCAACGACGACTATATTACTTCCTCAACAAAGTCAGCGTAATACGTGCACACCCCGGGATGGCATAACATGTATATACATATTGAGAAGTTTAAAAAATTCTCATACTTCGTCGTGCCTAAAATACCTCGAAGGACGACTGTCCCATGGTATAGTAGGAACTGTCGAAACTCCGAGGCTTTCCATGTTTCTACGTCGTCAAACCCGCGACACTTGAGTTGAAAATCGCAGGGCAAGCTACTAGATATTCTATATTTATCTGAATTGTCTTGTTCTCAAGCGGACGTTAGGCGACACGGGTCCACTTCTCCACAAACTCATCACACGTTTGCAGTACCCTAGACAAACCAGGTGCATATATTCCAACGGGAAACCAAGCACCACGTCACAGGGGGAAGCATTTCAAACGGTGATTCGCCTGTGTGATGACGCTCGTCTCGACGTGAACGGAAATCCACATCTGTCCTTTTATTTTGGGTCGTGATAAGGAAAATAATCTTTTGCCCATTGTGGAAACCCCTAGCAGTGCAGCGTTCATAGGAACTGTATCCACTATGGGATTTGGTTTTGTGAACCATCGCACGGCTGGCTCATCGCAAATCACAATCCAAGGCAAGAGACGATCCACTAGACGCAATGTGAACTCCATTGCGGATTTCGTCCTGCAAATCACGGATAACAGATGATGGGAGCTGTATAATGTTGCCTGACTTGGAATGTCCACAGTACAGACCAAAGAACACTGGGGATTTGGGGTTAACGATCCTTCCAAGTATTGGCCAAAGTTGTAAACGGGAACTACGGAAAACCGAAATCCCATCAATGGCCAATTGCAATTTCAAAGCACATCCAATATCAACCGATAATCCAGCGAATGCGTCCTGCAAACCGTAATGTATATAGTCCCCACCTCCCATTGCACGTGATTCACACGCTCGTGGTGTGCGGTAGTCTTTCGGCAAATGTTTAAAATGAACGCGCAAATGATCAAGCATAATGTTCATAGCACTGGCAGATAATTTGCCATCCACGGCGATCAAGCAGCATGTTTCTGACAAAGAACGTTTAGCCGGTTACGTGTCTACATGGTGTAGTAAATGAGATATTTACTAATCAATGTTTGTCGAGCTTGTTTCCGTTTGGAGAATAACTTCGGTAACTTCAGTTGTTGATTCATCACACACTGCACCA